TGCAGTTATCTCTTTGTAACTTTTGTGGTTATAGCTTTTAAAAGTGATTGTTGGAAATTGAATGTTGTTAATTGTTTGTGTTACAGTGGAATGTAACATTTGCGATTCTCTTGCGATCCAACAAGCTGCCACAACGACAACTGCTACAACAACGAGCACTGCTGAAGCAACAACGACTACTACACCCAAACCGACAACCACGACAACCGAACCAACAACAACTACTACCCTTAAACCGACTACTATGACAACCTCGTCAACTACAGTCACTACTCTTGAAGCGACAGCTACGACAACCGTGTTAACTACAATTGCTACGCCTAAACCGACAACCACGATAACCGAATCAACAATCACTACGCCTAAACCGATTACTACGAAAACCGCGTCAACTGCAGTTACCACGCTTAAACCGACAACTATAACAATAACTACTACGCTTGAATCGACAACTGCGACAACCGAATTACCAACTGCTACTACGCCTAAATTGACAACTACGGCAACCGAATCAACAACAACCACTACGCTTAAAGCAACAACCACGACAAGCGAACCAATAACTACTCCTAAACCGACTACTATCGCATCAGAAACTACTACTTATACACATAATGCGATAACATCTACAGTCAAAAGTACGACATCCATTCCCAAACCAACGTTGACAACTGCTGGCAAAACCCCAGTTGCAACAACTTTAAAGGCAACAACTAGTACTGAAGAAAATGCGACCACAAAATCTGAATCAACGATGGCTATGACAATCAGAACGGAAACTGCTATAACTACACCATTGACAACACTTAAAATAGTAAAGCCTACAACTATCACAAGCAAATTAACAACTACTCCAGAGTCAACGACTGCGGCTACCACAAAAAAACCTACTGCTAGTACGCTCAAATCATCAACAGCTAATCCCAGCACATTTGCGACGTCAGCCATTACTACTAAACAAAGTGAGGCGAATATTATATCATCAGGTACAAAAACAGCGATGACTACGGCGTCTACCACAACAGTGACAACACAAACTATTTCATCAGAAACAGATGTAAAATCTTCTTCAGCGGTTCCTGAGTCTGCTACAACGTCTAAAATTACTGCGATGACACCGACAATAACAATGGAATCGGGAAGAAAGGCATCGACGACATTGGCGACAACAATTCCTACGACTACCACTACAACAGATTCTTCCACAACCGCAACACTCACTGAAAGATCTGCGATAACAACAGAAGACACTATTGCGGATTCAAATAATTTAATAACTTCGACGAAAGCATGGACAAAAACAGCTACTCATCAGTGTTGTGTGTTAGATACAACTCCATTGCCCACTTCAACAGCAATCACGGTGTCGGAAAACATCGCAACACCGACAGTCACATCAATCACTACCCAGACAGACAGGTCAGAGATACCCATTACCACAAATGCCCCAATGGTAACTACAACAGCAGTCCCAATATCTAATACTATGACATCCACAACGACTGCGCTAATCACTGGTATGTTGGAACCCATCAGTACGACAGAATCTGATGCCAGCCATTCTACTATGTCACGAATGGCTACATCAAGCAAACTTGATTCAGTTTTGTTAGTGACTGACGCTCAATCATCAAAAATAGCGCAGTCATCTCAAAACGTTGCCTCGATTGCAATATCCGAGGGGGGATCATCAACGAGTCAAGCCGCACTGCATTCAGAACATGAATCAGCAATCCCGCAAGAAACTGGACTGTCCACACAAAACCATATAACAACGTTCGTACGTGTCCTGAACATAACAACTGAGGCTTTCACTAATCGAAGTTCCGCTCTCTTAGAAAGTGCGCGTACTAATATTACACCAGTTGCCGTTTCTGGTTCTGAAAACGAGAAATTTTCAGAAACAATTCCTTTCTTTTCCACAGAATCAGGTACTAAGTCTACAAACATTCGTCATAATACTACAAGGGAATCCTCGCCAGTCAATGTACTTACATCCAGCAGACCTACAGGTAAGCATGACCTATGATTTTGCCACGACCCAAGCGTGAAATGAATTCAAACCTATTGCTCTCACCATCATCTTATTTGAGCCGTTTCTGAGCAGAGCACGCCGCACGGTAGCCTTGCAAACAGCGCTGTTACGTGAGGGTAATTACTGAAATGGTGTTGCAGTGGATGTTGGGAAAAAACAAACAACTAGCCCAAAATGAGTACGATTGTTTCTTTGATTCTCCTCTCAAAGACGAATTACATCTCGCTCAACGGAATACTGAGGCTCAAACCCCGTTCGTGTTGGCATTACGAAACTTGTTGGCTTGTTTTCGATTTGAAACAAGGATAGAGTGTTTGCCGCAGTCCCGTTTAATATAATGCCTTTATGATATAGGAAAAGGACTAACCTGTTACCTAGGCACGGGAATTAAGAAGATATAAGCTTAGCACAACAGCCACTTTTCTCGCCAACCCCACTATTTCTCTCTATATCCACCACTGCATCTCTCTAATGTAACGTTTGATGGCAAATACTTAGCCTGGTGCTTTGTACCTTTTAAGTTGTCCTACTATGTGGCAGAAATATGTCATATGTCGAATGAATAGTTGCGCAGGAATCGCTATACGCTGTTTTTACCAACTTTTCAAAATTTAGAA